GGCTCGAATGACGGCCAGATTCAGTACCCTGAACGCTTCCGCGCCTCCTCCTCCTCCTCCTCCTCCTCCTCCTCCTCCTCCTCCTCCCGCCGCTTCCAGAACCTGGCGCACGCTCTGCGAATGAGTGAAATGCAGATACAGCCTGGTCTGCAGATCGCTCATCTTGCAGCAGACCACCTCCACAATCTTGGGAGGAAGATGCTTCGACAATAGAGCGTTGGTTCGCCGCAGCACGAACTGATTCACGATCGTCGACAACTCCGAGGATCGTTCCGCTGCAAGGCATCGTTCTTCTTCCGTTGCGTCCGGCTCCCTGCCCGTCAAAATGGGCCCTTCGAAGTACCGGCGGAACGCCGCCGCGTCCCCCAGAACACCGGGGTTAGTGAAATCGACCATCGCGAAGAACTCTTCGAGATCATTCTGCATTGGAGTTCCCGACAACAACACCCGCCTTCGACATGGCATCGCTGCCAACGCCTGGTTGGTCAACGTTTTGTCGTTCTTCAACCTGTGGGCCTCGTCACAGATCAGCAGATCGCAGCTCCTCTCGCTTTCGTGGAACTTCTTGCAGTGGAGGCGGAACGTCTCGTACGAGATGATCAGCACTTGGCAGGCAGTTTTAGGAGAAACAGGACGAAGGAACGCCGAGATTCCCTCCACCACATCGGCGCGCGTCGACTCAGAAAGTGCCATCGCCCTCACGCGATCGCCTAACCATTTGGTCAGCTCCGAACCCCAGTTGCTGACCAGGCTCGTCGGGGTCACGATGACCACACGAGCGGCCATCGGTGTCCCATCGAATCCGGAGCAAAGGAGAGTCCAGAGCAGAGTGATGCTCTGCAAAGTCTTGCCAAGGCCCATGTCGTCCGCGAGGATGCAGCCGCGGCAGCATTTTGTGGTCCGGTTGCTGCTGCTGCTGCTGCTGTCTTCGTCGTCGTTCGATGACACATTCTTGGTATTGAGAGGGGAGGAGGAGGAGAAGTCTCGCAGACCCGCCACGCACTCGAACATGAACTGAACACCTTCCCGCTGATGTGGCCGCAAGAAACGCACGAGGTGGTTGTCCACGAGGATCGGTCGCGATCTTTCCGTCACGTACTCTCCGCCGTCGTCGGGATCCCATAACAGTAGCGGCTCGATGCCAGGTGGGAGCGCATCCTCCCCGCCGCTCGCGTCGGTTGTTGTCGACGATTGCTCTGTTGTGGCAGGCGGCTCCTCTTCCACCTTGGAATCCTCCTCCGGCGGAGGAGGAGGCGCAGGCGGAGGCGGGGCGCTCAGCGACGGCTCGAAAGGCTTCTTGCTTCCCCACGGAATGAACTTCTTCCTGGCATTCAGCCGACGCAGCAGCTCGACGCTCGCGGATCCGCCGCTGTCGCCCGCGCCGGGACAGGGAGACTTGAAGGGCTTACGAACGACTGCCGCTCCCGCTGACACCGACAGGTACTTCGTCAGAAGCGGCTGCCGCTTAACCACGAGCTCGCCGCTGAGCAGAGCGGCGACATTTCTGTCTTTCTGGTTCAGCTCCGCTACGGCCTTCTTCTTCGTCTCCTGTTTCGTCGTCACCTTCTTATTGCTGCTGGCGGGTTCTAATTTCTTTCTCGTCATCAGTCCCGATCGCGCTACCAGGCTGGGTCGCGAAGCGGCGGCCCCGGCAACAACACCCGTCGCCGCTGCACTTGACTGCTTCTTCTTCCTCTTCTTCTTCTTCTTCGATGAGAGCGGTGGCTCCTCCTCTTCTTCTCCTTCTTCATCATCGTCGTCGTCGTCCCCGTCCGCCTCGTTCTCGTCCTCATCATTGACATCGTCGCTATAATCATCGCCGTCGGACTGTCGTTCATCATCCACCTCGCTAGCGGACGAAGACGTGGTGGGGCAATCATCCTTGTTGTTGGCGGCGCACAGGAGATCATTATACTCCTGTAAGCTCACGCACCTGTTGCAGCCATGGCCACGTTCGTAGTTCTTCCAATTCTCACAAACATAGCCTTCGCCAACGCCTCCCCATCCCTCAAGCGCCGGCTCCAGCCGCGCCTCCCCGCAATGGGAGCACGCCACATGTTCCGCACCCATTGTCGGGATCGCGTCATCAACACACCCGTGAAACCGACTATACCTATATGTTGACTGCTGATCGAAGAACACCCCCGTGAAGATCTGAACAAGCATAAAGCAATCTAAGCGCCAGGGGTCAGCAAAGGCAAGACAGGGCAGGGTGGATGAAGGTCGGTAGTAGTCAACCTACTTCTCACGCCTGCCCCCTATGCGCGACGGAAAGACGAATACGGTGGCGAATCAAATCAACCAATCAATCAAAAATGGATCAATTTAGAGTAATGCGTATAAATCTATCAGTCAATCAATCAACAGACGAATGGTCTACGCTGGTAGCTCTCGTCAAGTCTCTCGGTTCACTCGCGTTCCGTGGGTCTGGCGATAAACTACACTCAAACGGCCACATTGCTTCCAACAGATGGAAAACGAATACCTTTCCGTGCTTTCCTACTCCCCTCTCCGCCCTGCGCTCTCTCTCTCTTGCTATCCCTTCCCGTTCATTTTCACCTCCTCTCTCGTCGGCTTCTTTCCCGGACAACTCGTCCTCACCAGAACAAACTTGCACCCCGTTTTGTCCTTTCGTCGGTGGCGACAACAACAACTTCGAGATTTCCATTGCACTTCGGGATCTTGGCTCATCCCATGGGGAAACCTGCTTCACATCGCACGCCGATCGGTCGAGGTCATCGATCGATCGGAAAGGTGACAGGCACCGCGCGTGGCGGCCACATCAGATAATCAATCAATCTCGTCGCTCCCCTGCTTGATGTCGACGACGGTGTCCAGCCAGGTCTTTCTTTTCGCGATCACCGTCCAAAACTTTCATTTCTTCAGCAACTGCTACCGGCATAACCACAATCACCATCGTGATCATGACCATCGTTATCATCATTCATCCATGATAATCATCAATCATCACCATTACCGTCACTACGCTCGACCGATCTGATGAATCATCGACCCGATTATCGGGTCTGCTTGCTCAATCTGATTATTGTGATCATCCTTTACGATTGCCATCATGCATACTTCACGATCGCCATCATGATCAGGCGGGAAGGCCTATTCAACCGAGCTGGTAAAACATAAGCATGCATAAATCAGTACTAACGATTGATTAACTACGTCCATACCCCTCATCACGATCATCGTCGACCGATAGTCATCATCAATCCAATGAAATCGACTGCATAACCCTTCACAGAGATCGCATATCAACGTTGGACACTTCGCCGTCTGATGCAACGCGAGGGGAAAAACAGAACGGGGGAAAAGCACCGCACGACAATGGCACAACACACCCAGAATCCAGATGGATGACAAAACGTTATTTCCAAAAACAAAAAGAAGAAAAGAGAAGGACACCATTACCATCATCAACCTGCTTCTCCCACCCTCGCGCACTGCCGCCACACGCATTCATTCACAGAGAAAAAGCGGATCAGTGTGTCCGGGGACAACAGGTCAAGAAGTAAATGGAGAGAAAAAAAAGGGGACAAAAAGGTAGAAAAAAAAGAGAGAGAAAAGGCACGTGGAATGCGACTGTGTGGATGACGGGAATGACGTCAGGCTTGAACCTCCTCTAAGTGCATCATCATAATAGATTGTGCGCGTTCCAGTACAGGGGTTCTTTGGAACCGATAGAGAGAAAACGCAATGATACAAATGTAGTTGTACCAGTTTATTCCGGAAAGGGAAGACAGGTGGGGACCTCTTGGTGGGGAGAAAGGGGTGAAAGTAGTAAATGGCGGAGCAACATTACAAAGAGAGCATTAGAGAGCAATACGATTCGGGCGCGATGATGCATGTACGTTTACCACATTGCCACATAGGAAAAGGGAATGAGAAAGCTCTTTGGAGCGCATCGATTCGTAGGGAGACTAGGATGTCCTGCTCCCCCGGCTTTGAATTTCAGGAAAAACTTCCTTGATTCGTGATACATCCCGGTTCAGTTCTGCTCCTTGGAGAGTTCTAAAAGGAGAGCTGCCATTAGATCATACTCGAACTAGGAATACCTTAACTCTAACCGCATTTTCGTCCCGAGTGTGTTTGTGTGCGCTCGTGTGTGATGATGTTTGTTCATGATTGTGTGCGTGAGATGTATACTTCGTTCTCGCAAGTGTGCACGGGTATGTGTGAAGGCCGTAAGTTTCGCTCTTTAGACGAAACAGACATTATGCTTTATACTTCCCCCTCATCCAAACGGAATACAGATATCTGTTCTTCGGGACATTCGTTAAAATTCGAAACATACCTTTCTCGGACTTTTGGCTCAGATCAAGTGTGTAGTATCTGTTCAGATCCTGATCCGTGGTCCATCGGGAACTTAGTGCCAACGGACTGTGATAGTCCTCTGGATACCCCTGATCGGTATTAGCGGGCTCTATGACCAACACGGTGTGAGTGCGTGCGCGAGTGGGTGTTGTGTGGTGTGTGGGAGAGCGTTGGCCATAGCCTCTGCTGCTACTCGATGAGGGGTGGGGGACGATGAGAAAGGGAGGCGCAGCTACTGGCAAAATGCTTGGTCTTTGGGTTAGACGGCGGCCCCACCCCGTCTCTGACTACAGCTGTTGGGGGCGGGGGGCAACATGATTTACCTCGTTTGTGAGGCCCTATGCTTGCAGGGGTCCCCTCTGTATAGTCTTAGGAGTAGTGGTAGGAAGTACTGGTAGGAAGCTATGTATCACCAGTGGCAGCTGAATCTCATCCGACCCAAGCATCAGCCTGTCTGACACCATGACCTCCCCGTCTTGCAATCCTACAGCCTATCCTTGTGTGTGCTCTGTATGCATACTATATGAAGGGGATCCAACTCTTGCACCACTCGGCTCAATGCTCGAAGATCCCGGCTCCTGTCCACTAGGAACCTGCTGACCCTTGGCCTCTAGTCCACCGGCCTGGTCCGTCGTGGTCTGCTGCGCCTGAACATAGGGCAAGGAACTCATCTGTCGCTCCAACTCCCAATTCGCGATGAGACCCTCCACCGCAGAGCTCAGGTAGGCACGCTTTCGCTCAAGAACCTCGATCCTCATGGATGACTCCTCAACTCTCTCATCCCGGGCCTCCTCCCGTCTAATGATCCACTTCACATGCTGCAAAACACCCACCAACCCCTCAACCAAGGACTGCGACAATAATACCCAACTGTCGCCCTTTCTTTGCATGCTGATGCTCGACCTCAGACATGAGCTCCTCTCCCTCAAACAATTGTCTCCTCATGGCCTCCTGCTGGCCTACTGCAGTGTCGCCCTCAATGTAGATCTTCATTGTAGTGCGCTCCACCCGGTCAAGTATCATTCTAAGGAGGTCCGCATATAGTCCTAATCGCGCACCTCTCACAACCACCAGGAGACGTGCATACTCTCGCTCCTCCTCCTCGAGTGCTCAACTGCAGGCGCAATATCTACCAAAGCCTGCTCTGCACGAGCTCGCCAATCCCTACCATTTGTTTATCTCGGGCGTACTGAAGTCTCTGCCTCTCCCTGAGTCTGCGCGGCCCTAGCCTCGACGACGTTCCTGAGCTCGGCCACCTCCTGTCTCAATGCATCATATGTCGCCGACCTATCCTAACTTAGCTCAAAACTTTGTATGTCGACCCTCCTCGCATAATCTCGCACCCGCTCAGTCGCCTGCCTTGCTGCTGCCAAACCCTCTACAAAATAATCCCGTGGTTGAACTAGGTCCGTATGCAAAATTCTGAGGTCACCAACCCGTTGGTCCTTTGGCAGATTAAGCCATGTGGCTAGCCGCAATTGTTCGAAGGCAAGACAGCCTGAGAAGGGCACAACGGGTAACTGCCCCAACTCGTGAGCCATGCATGCATCTCTCTCAGTTGATCCCACTCTCGTAGTCCTTGCGCTTCGTCTGTAGGTGCGTCCCTCTTAGCGATCAACGCCTCTCAAAACGGTTGTATACCCTCTTGAATAGACTCTTCAACAACTGTCTTGGGTAGTTCCTCGTTCTGCACTGGTGTCCCCCCGAAGTTCATAGGCAACGATCCCACATCTCGAGTTAGTGTCTCCATCATAGTATACGAGGTCCCGCCTATCCCTATAACCTCCTCCTCAACTCGCTCTAGCACCTCATCGGTGGGTGACGGTCCGGCTTCACTATCTTGTTGGCCAGACTCAACCGGAGGTTCCATACAATACAGTTGCGCCACCAACAAGTCCTTTGTCTCCCCCAGTGACTCATCCCCTCGGGTTCCCTCACGTTGTGGCCGCTCACCTTGGGACTAATCGTCAACCAAGATCGTGTCAACGCCTTCCTTAACTCCTTCCTAAGGAGGTAACGTAGCCTGCTCCCGAGGTCCGTCATGCGATGTTCGCCCCCTTGCCTGCTGGTTTGTACGCGACAGCGACTCTGGCTGGCCCGATTGTCTAATGATTAGCAACAACACTCTCTTGTCTGTTGTGGCAGAGGCCCCTCATCCATTGTGACTCTCCTTAGGGCCTTCGCTAGAGGCCTCCCAACTGTCTACCTCTTAGTCTTATGATACTCGACCCCCCGCCGGTGCTGCTCAAACAGCAGTTAAACTCTATCTCTAATGATACCTCACGCCGTCGTCGCCTGACAACAGGGTCCACTGCCTCAGGGCAATGGTGCTAAGGGAATGTTTTGCATTACTCGTAACACTATCTTCCTCTACCATGACTGCACTGTCTTTTTCCGTATAGTACTTACCTCTGGATACAGGAGAACCTTTTGACGCCTCTTTCCAATGCGACGACTAAATCTTTTTTTTCGTATGGATAGTTAACAGGCCAGACAACTAGATAACAATCTGCTATTTTATCACATGCGCAACCAACACTCATTTGCCTAATCAAGTAACAAGCATTTTCATAAATTAATATAATTTTCACACTTGGGTATAATGAAACCACAAAAATTTAAGAGTTAACGCACCACTAATAAAAAATAAGTTGTCGTTTTGCCTGGATCATCGACATGCACTTAACCCAGGTTCATTCACATAAAACCTCGGTAAGCATCCGAGATCCCTGACAACGGCGCCACGTATCGTGCACATCGGTCCCACAGAGGGGACCCCCCTGACCGCATCATGCAAGATTGGCAGGAATCTTTCGGGACACATGCAATGAAGCAGCGGTGCCGCTCCGTCCGAGTGCCCAGGTATACCTCCTTCGAGCCCCTACGACATGGTACGGCCTTGTGAGGCACAACTTATCTCCACCTGCAACAGCTGTCACCATCCCTTATGTGGGTGTATCCCCGCCGAGCTACCAGTCCACAATACGAAGTTTTTACATGCAATCGCAGAGGTGAACCTGCCGAGGGTGTTTTCTCGTATACTGTATCATAGGAGGTACGCGCGGTCACGCTTGAATCGAATATGCACGCGAACCGACACTTGGGGTGTTGATCTCCCAAGTGCGGGCCTATGCCGATCGACTATAACCCTCAACTTAATCACGTGTCAAACAACCATAATTATCATTAATTTAGAATTTTGCGTACTAGCCTAGCGTCTTCGTAAGTATCTTTGACCCTTTACTCGACCCTGTGGCAACTAGGCTTACCCAAGCATAATGATTATCGCACACCCAAAAATTCTTATATGAAAATTGTGAAGTGAGAAAAATGATATCGATTTGTGTATCCTGAAGAAAAAAAAATTCAACCACGAAATCGGGAGGAGGGTTGTGTTGTTTATGCTGAAACCACATGATACACATAACTTTTTATATCAAACATGGTCTTAAAACACATATGTATTGAAAAATTCATAAAGTGATAAACGTTTTGAAAACTATAAAAACAACCCCTATAGATACCTCACAGGCTACGTGAACATCCTGAATCATCACGAAGTGACGAGCGTCCAGAAGATCATGAAAGCAACCCTTATGACAATCTGTTTAAGCTACCTGAAAATCATGAAACATCTGAAAGATCATGATTTTCAGGTAGTTTGAACAGATGGTCATAAAGGCGGTTTCGTGGTCTTCGAAATGTTCATCACTTCGGGAAGCTTCATGATTTTTTGATAACTTGAACAGATGACCATAAGGGTTGCTTTCATAGTCTACGGGATGATCATCACTTCAGGATGCTTTATGATTTTCGTATAGCTTGAACAGATGACCGTAATGATTGCTAGCATAGTCTTTGGGACGCTCACCACTTATGATGCATCACAATTTTCGGGTAACTCGAACAGATTGTCATACGGGTTGCTTTCATGGTTTTCGACATGTTAATCGCTTCGGGATGCTTCCTGATTTTTTTGTAGCTTAAACAGATGACCATAACGGTTGTTTTTATGGTATTCGGGACATATATCACTTTGGGATGCTTCATGATTTTCGGGTAGTTGAAACAAATAATAATAAGGGTTGCTTTTAAGGTTTTTGAAAGTCGAAACGTTCATCACTTCGGGATGCTTCATGATTTTCTGTTACGTTGAACAGATAACCATAATGTTTGTTTTTATGTTCTGCGAGACGTTATCACTTCAAGATGCTTCATGATTTTTTATTACCTTTAACAAATGACCATAAATGTTATTTTCATTGTCTTCGGGATGTTGTATTATTTTTTGGTAGCTTGAACAGATGGTCATAAAGGTGACTTTCATGGCCGTTCATCACTTTGAGATATTTCATGATTTTCAGATAGTTTGAATAGATGGTCATAAGTTGCATTCGTGGTCTTAGGGGCGTTCTTCACTTCAAGCCCGAAGACCATGAAAGCGACCCATATGGTCATTTGTTCAAGCTACCTGAAAATCGTGAAGCTTCTCGAAATGATGAACGATCCGAACACCATGAAAACAACTCTTATGGTCACGAAACATCCTGAAGTAATAAACGTCCTGAAGACCAATAAGGCAAACCCAATGACCATTTGTTTAAGTTACCCGAAAATCATGACTCATCTCTAAGTGACGAATGTGCAAGAGACCATTTGTTCAAACTATCCGAAAATTTATGAAGCATCCCGAATTGAAGAACGTCTCGAAGACCATAAAGACAACCCTTATCGCCATTTGTACAAACTACTCGAAAATCATGAAGCATCCGGGCGTGATGAATATCCCGAAGACCATAAGGACAACCATTACAGTCATCTGTTAAAGTTACTTTAAGACCATGAATCATCCCGAAGTAATAAACGTCCCGAAGACTTTGAAAGCAACCCTTATGGTCATCTGTTCAAGATACCCGAAAATCATAAAGCATCTTGAAGTGATAAACGTCTCTAAGACCATGAAATCAACCTTAATCACCATTTGTTCAAGCTACCCGAAAATCATTAAGCATCTCGAAGTGATGAACGTCCGGAAGATCATGAAAGCAGCCCTTATGACCA